AAAAAAGAATAAAAATAAAGGCATTGTAAGCTAATGGTCTTTCTATGTCCCTTAAAATAGAGGAGCCTCTGGTGTTTAGCTGAGCTGAGCTGAATGCTTATAGAGAGGAAATACATCTTTAAATACCAAAATTCTGTCTGGGGAGGGTATATGCTCACATTCTGAAAGACATGTCAGAATTAGAGTGAAAAGTATGCTACCGCCTCAACCTTCAAGAAGGTGGTTTCTAACCAAACAGACAATGGGAAAAGTTCTTAAAGCTAATGGTAAATTTGGAACCAGAACAGAATACATGAAAAAAGAACAAAAATCCTACATATGTGACTTTAGATATCACTTGTATCAACTACTACCTAGTCACCAAATAAGACATACTTGTATATGACAAGGTGTGGTATATAGGTTAGTGTAGCGGCTTTCTTTGGGCTGCCAGTCAGCTCCCAAATCATGTTTCAGAGACTTATTAGTTATGAACACTCAGCCTTATGCCTGTCCCGCTAGCTCTTATAATTAATTTAACCTGTTTCTCCTCATCTACGTTTTGCTTTGGAGCTTTTTACCTTGCTTTCATTCTGTGGGTCCTACTTTTCCATGACTTCTTTCGTGACCTACTGGCTGGTGGCTGCTTGGCTGGCTGCATCCGAGCATCTGCCTCTCCTCTCTTTCTCTCTTCTCTCTTTCTCCCCTCTCCCCCACTGAGCTTCCTCTTCCTTATTATCTTATTATCTCTGCCAACCAGCCACATCTATCACTCTTTTGCCTAGCTATTAGCCGTTCAGCTTTTTATTAGACCAATCAGGTGCTTTAGGCAGGCAAAACAACATATCTTTACATTGTTACACAAATGCAGCATGAACAAATGTAGCACTTCTTTAAACAAATTAAACAAATCATTAAACAAATCCAACATAAACAAATGCAACACGTTTATATAGTTAAAGTAATATTCCACAATAGGTTAGTGTTTAAGTAATTAGTGATTCATAATACAAGTAAAATATACTAGCTTTTGCAAAACCTTTACATACATACAAATAAATCCTTGAGGATATATTTCACTATTAATGGAGCTAAGGTGAACATTTTGGGACTCTGAATGGCCATGAATACTTTTCTTCTGGTCTGTTTTTGCAGCATCAAGAATTATCACTTTGTAATTTTAAAAGGTTTAATTTCCCAAATTCATACAGATGAAAAGGGATACAAAATCACATACATGCAATTTCCAGTAGGCAGCATAATATGTTTAATTTGCCTGATTCCTAGTGGGGACCATTCTCCGAGGTCTCTGTACCTTTCAGGGCAGAATTCCTCAGGCTCTGGCCAGTACTCAGGATCCCGATGGAGAGGATAGGTTGGTACCATAACTACAGTCCCTTTGGG